AAGTGACTACCCAACTAAATACCATTTCATTTATTCATCATTCTTCCTACAAGCGATGACCTGGACGAAGGTAGATATTAGGAGAGAGAGAGAGAGAGAGAGAGAGAGAGAGAGAGAGAGAGAGAGAGAGAGAGAGAGAGAGAGAGAGAGAGAGAGAGAGAGAGAGAGAGAGAGAGAGAGAGAGAGAGAGAGAGAGAGAGAGAGAGAGAGAGAACCCTCCCGGCTCACTCATCCATTCATCCATCCATCCATCCACTGGGATGGCTGCAAACGTCCATCATTAGCCAATAGGAAATGAGACTCTCCCCCTCTCCCAAACACTTATAACTTCCCGCTACCTTCAGTCTACTTCCCTCGTCATCTACCACAAATCTACCAACCCCTCAACCCCCCCCCCTTCACCACACACAACCACCACGTGTTTATGTCAACAGGCTGGACCACCCATCACCCCTCCCCCCCCCCTCAACCACCAATCAGTCACTATCCTCTGAATCGTTACTACCGCCCCCTTCCCGGCACCACCACCACCACCACTACCATCCAACCCGTCACTTTCCCCAACACCTGCGCCCCCCCATGTATAAATGACACAGGTGTACCACTTCCTGAAGTAATGAAGCTGATACCTGGGTAGAGCAGCTGGGCCTCGTTACTGAAGTATGCATATATGCACACACGCATACACTGCACGCACGCATGCACTGCAAGCACGCATACACTGCACGCACGCATGCACACTCCCTCACGCACGCACTGCACGCACGCATGCACACTCCCTCACGCATACACTGCACGCACGCATGCACACTCCCTCGCGCACGCACTGCACGCACGCATGCACACTCCCTCACGCACGCACTGCACGCACACCTGCACACTCCCTCGCGCACGCACTGCACGCACGCATGCACACTCCCTCACGCACGCACTGCACGCACACCTGCACACTCCCTCACGCACCGGCACGAGAAAGGGGGAAGACAGAACCCGTTAAGCTACAGACCGGTATCACTAACAAGTCCGCCCTGCCTCTAGCTACACTCACCGCTCCCAACCCGGCCACTGAAACATTTACAACACATAAACTTTGTCTCAAGGCTCCATACCTGGTTGATACCTGGTTGATACCTGGTTGATGGGGTTCTGGGAGTTCTTCTACTCCCCAAGCCCGGCCCGAGGCCAGGCCCCAGCAGGGTTTTTAGTAAAGGAAAATCTCGCTTGACAAACTTGTTTGAGTTTGACAACAACACGACAGAAATCAAGTGAGAGAGATGAATGGGCAGACAGCATATTCCTTGACTGTCAGAAGGCATTTGATACAGTCCAGCATGAAAAACTCGTACTCAGACTACAGAAGCAACAGGCTGGCGTATCTAGAAAAGTCCAATAATGGGTCAGAATTTATTTCTTCAGATGTGGTCTGAAAAATGGCTGCTAGAATTGAACCCAGCCAAATGCAAAGTTATAAGGATTGGAACAAGCGTACGAAAACCAGTCAACAGAATAGGATAAAAGGAAGGCGAATTCTTCAGTCGGAAAGTGAGAAAGACCTGAGAGTACTGATACCTGATCAACCAGACTGTGATTCATACGTCAAGCCTGGTTGACCAGTCCAGCAACGGCCTCGTCCCGAGGACCGGGCCGCGGGGACGCTAAGCCCCGAGACCAACACAAGGTAAGGTAGGTGTTGTGTGAGTGGACACAACACTCAACAGGACAACACAAGGATCAACAAAGCAACACTCGACAGGACAACACAAGGATCAACAAAGCAACACTCAACAGGACAACACAAGGATCAACAAAGCAACACTCGACAGGACAACACAAGGATCAACAAAGCAACACTCGACAGGACAACACAAGGATCAACAAAGCAACACTCAACAGGACAACACAAGGATCAACAAAGCAACACTCAACAGGACAACACAAGGATCAACAAAGCAACACTCAACAGGACAACACAAGGATCAACAAAGCAACACTCAACAGGACAACACAAGGATCAACAAAGCAACACTCAACAGGACAACACAAGGATCAACAAAGCAACACTCAACAGGACAACACAAGGATCAACAAAGCAACACTCAACAGGACAACACAAGGATCAACAAAGCAACACTAGACACATATTTCATGAACTAAGTGAACCAATATGTTTCCGTCAGCTCAGATAATTGAGAAATTTCCATAAATGGAACAATTCCGTTGGCGAGAAAAACCTGCCAATTTGGTAACGAGTCACATAATTGTGCGAGGAGTCCTGAGCCTCCAATTACACCCTAAATCTCAACTTTACAGCCAGAAAGAAAATACAAATAAAACAGTGAGATTGTATTTTGTTTTACTGAGTCTGTGCGCGCGCGCGAGAGAGAGAGAGAGAGGGGGAGAGAGAGAGAGAGAGGGGGGGGAGAGAGAGAGAGAGGGGGGGGAGAGAGAGAGAGAGAGGGGGGGGGGAGGAGAGAGAGAGGGGGGAGAGAGAGAGGAGAGAGAGAGAGGGGGGGAGAGAGAGAGAGGGGGAGAGAGAGAGAGAGAGAGGAGGAGAGGAGGAGAGAGAGAGAGAGAGAGGGGAGAGAGAGAGAGAGAGGGAGAGAGAGAGAGAGAGAGAGAGAGGAGAGAGGGAGGAGAGAGAGAGAGAGAGAGAGAGAGAGAGAGAGAGAGAGAGAGAGAGAGAGAGAGAGAGAGAGAGAGAGAGAGAGAGAGGTGTGAAGTACATGCTGTTGAGATGGGTTCAGGGTGAATGCAGTGATACAATGAATACAACAATGCTGGGGCAGTGAATACAAATATAACCTATGTAAGACCAACACTATAATATGCAGCACCGACCTCGAACCAGCAGCTCGTAAGGAACAGAGCAACAAATTGAAAAAGTTCAGGTTTACAACTAGGGAGAACTAGAAGAGCAAAACTACGAGGCTAGCTGGAGATTACCAGATCTCACAACAGAACAGAAGAAACAAAGTGGATATGATCACGACATACAAGTTATTATAAAGAATAAATAAGGTTACCAAAGACGCTCTTTAAATTGAGAATTTAAACCGCCATAATAAAGTCGAAGGAATATAAAGAAAACGGACCTTTTTAAGCGCATCAGTAAGTGAAGTGCGCGGAAAGACGGAGTTCTGGAAGCCACCTCCGTCCACAGTTTTAATGCTAAATTTGACAACTCAATCGACGAGCGAAGCTAAATTATAGTGCAAGAAGGGGAGCCGGTCGGCCGAGCGGACAGCACGCTGGACTTGTGATCCTGTGGTCCTGGGTTCGATCCCAGGCGCCGGCGAGAAACAATGGGCAGAGTTTCTTTCACCCTATGCCCCTGTTACCTATCAGTAAAATAGGTACCTGGGTGTTAGTCAGCTGTCACTGGCTGCTTCCTGGGGGTGGAGGCCTGGTCGAGGACCGGGCCGCGGGAACACTTAAAAAGACACTTAAAAAGCCCCGAAATCATCTCAAGATAACAAGATAACCTCAAGATAGGTAAGCACAGGAAGAGCAGCAGCAGCAGGTGAAGGAGAATGTTGACCAAGGGAGGGGAGAGGGGAGTGGAGAGGAGGAGGAGGAGAGAAGGAAGGAGGATGAAGGGTGGGAGAGGTAAGAGGAGGGGTTACGAGGGAAGGCGGCAACAGGTGAGCGTACAACCCCACCCCCCCAACATCCATTGGGGGTGGAGGGAGGGGGGGGGGTTGTCCAGGTGTGGGGAGTGAGAGGAGAGGGGGAGAGGGGAGGGGGAAGGGAGGGGGGAGGGGTACCAGCGTCGGCCAGTAGGTCACTATGACACCCCCCCCCAACCCCCAACCCCAGCCGACTCCTCCCCTTCACCACCAACGCCCTCCTCCCCCCTTCACTACCACCACCCCAACCCCTTTCTCTTCACCACCACCACTGCACCAAGTAGTCACTCTTAGGTAAGCACACCTTTCACCACCACCCCCCTTTTTTGAGGGGGGGGGTGGGAGTGGGGGGTGGGGTAGCAAATAGGTGAAGGGAAGTATAGAAGTGGGAAATACAGTGAGAGGTATGAAAGCAGGCGGACTGTCCGCCTTGCTGACACGATGTGTAGGTGTTGGCAGCTAAGCTAAGCTGGCTCCCTCTTGTCAGGGAGCTGTGAGTGTGTGAGAGGTTCTTCACATGTGTTTCACCATATATGGATGTCCATAGATGAATACTGTGTAGCATTCATATATACACACTCCGATGCTTCCACACATGTTGTTCTGTTTAAGGCTTTTTATTTTATTATTATTAATTATTGATTTATATATGTATACGTGTATATATATATATATATATATATATATATATATATATATATATATATATATATATATATATATATATATATATATATATATAAGAGGGAAAAAGAGAGAGAGAGAGAGACAGCATGCACATCACCACCACCACCACTCCAGCCATCAACATGGTGTTCCTCTCGGGCTGGGAAGACACACTCGCACTAATGCAAAAGCAACTTTCAGGAAACGGGAAGACTAAGAAAAGAGAAGAGGACGAGAATAGAAGAGAGGAGAGGATGAGAAGAGAAGAGAGACGAGATGATCAGAAGAGAAGGGAGGGTAAAGGAGGCAACCTTGAGAAGCAACGCAACTGGGGTTCCAAGACCATATAAAAACCTGGGCCCAGATTCACGAAAGCACTTACGCAAGCACTTACGAACGTGTACATCTTTCCTCAATCTTTGACGGCTTTGGTTACATTTATTAAACAGTTTACAAGCATGAAAACTTCCCATTCAACTGTTGGTACTGTTATAAACAGCCTCCTGGTGCTTCGGAGCTCATTAATTGTTAAATAATTGGAAACAAAGCCGCCAAAGATTGACAAAAGATGTACAGGTTCGTAAGTGCTTTCGTGAATCTGGCCCCTGGTCTTGTGGACCACATAGGCTTGGCCCGAGACCCATGCACCAAACCTGACCTGTATATCTATCAGCGTATAACACAACACAGACGGGACACGTCACATACCTGTCTCCGGCTTGGAACATCCAGCTGAAAAGAAAAAAGAAAAAAATTAATGACTGAGATAACTACAATATGACTATTCTGGTCAACCAGGCTGTTGAACGCCGCTGCACTCACTCTGAGATCGGGTAACCTTTGAAAGCGTCCATCAAGTTCCCTCTTGTCTATAGAGAGAGGGTGTTGAAAAGTCTTGAGTTTTTAATGTTTAAAGAATATAGTCTACTAAGAGTACCTATTGCACTCAATTACTTTTCAATTGAGCTATTATACCCGCCAAACACACACCGAAACTACGACGTTGGTACAACGTTCGAACAAGTTTTACCACCACCTAACCAGTTATAACAACCAATATAGCAAGTTGTAACAACGTTCTAATACGTCATAAACACGTTAAGCCAAGATGTAATAACTTTATTACAAGTTTTAATATGCGGAAAATAGAGACAGTTTCGGTTTGTGTTTCCAGGGTACTGCCATGGTTCTAGGTTCTGTAAGGTCAATGTGCAGATTCGGAAACAGTCCCTCTAATATTTCCCAGGTGTAAATTATTATATCTCTCTCATTCGCTCCAAGGAGTAGAGTTCGATGATTATAAACGAAACCAATAATAAAATGTTTTACTGACTGGGGGGAACTTGTAGTTCTCGAGACGACAAAGTTCAGATAGTAACTAGAGGTCACATGTGAAGAACACGTATAAATCAGAGACAAGTGACGTAAAGGGATGTCAACAAAGGTACTTCAGAGCTTCAGCAGCCAGGGATGTTAACAAAGGTACTTCAGAGCTTCAGTAAGGGATGTAAACAAAGGCACTTCAGAGCTTCAGTAAGGGATGTAAACAAAGGCACTTCAGAGCTTCAGTAAGGGATGTAAACAAAGGCACTTCAGAGCTTCAGTAAGGTATGTAAACAAAGGTACCTCAGAGCTTCAGTAAGGGATGTCAACAAAGGTACTTCAGAGCTTCAGTAAGGGATGTCAACAAAGGTACTTCAGAGCTTCAGTAAGGGATGTCAACAAAGGCAGCAGGTTACAGGAGACACACTCCGGGCGAGCCATACACCAAACTATGACAAACACAGGAGTTATCACATTAGTGGACCAGTGGCTGGAAAGGGCGGGCTCTGAAAACACATCTACGTGAGTAAGCAGACGAGGAGTCACAATAACGTGGCAGAAATATGTTGACCAAACCACACACTAGAAAGTAAAGGGACGACGACGTTCCGGTCCGTCATGGACCATTCGTTAGTTAGTCTCAAGTCGTTTGTGATCGACAATCGACTTGAGAATGGTCCAGGACGGACCGAAACGTCATCGTCCCTTCACTTTATAGTGTGTGGTTTGGTCAACATGTACGCGAGTACCTGTAGTTTACCTGTAGTCGGCATCAAGAGTTCTTCTACACACCTAGATTCTACATACATAGATTCAGATGTAAATGTGAATCATTTAGGATAATGAGGCATCAAATTAATCATAAGCTGTTCAACAGGCGGCAAGGCTCAGGAGATGGAACTTGTACCCAGAAAACCCATAGGGACTCGTACTAGTTTGCTGTGTTATCGACCCCACAATCGAGGATCCCGGGGTTCGATTCCAGATTCTCGTGCTGGACAGAAATGGTTGAACACGCCTGATTTCCCCTCATACCTCTGTTCACCTAGGAGTTAGACAACTACTGTGGGGCAGCATCCTGGGGAGGGTCAGTAGTTCGACCGTGAGGTGGACCTCATAACAGGCCTAACGTATATATATACACACAGGCTTCCTGTCCCTGATAAAACAAATTAAATGACATGCGGGTAATGACAGCCACCCCTGAGACACACCAGTACTACGCCTCAGCACTCACCCCCCTAGGCCTTAGTGAGGCACCTAGTTGATGAGTCTAGGAGGCTAGTGAGCAGCGGCATGCGCGCCTCACACACTCACACACACACACACACACACACACACAAGTTGGAGATGCAGGCTGGAGTGAGAGGGAAGGTACTCCGGTGGATAGAGGAATACCTAAGCAACAGGAGACAACGAGTCTGTGTGAGGGGTGAGGTCTCAGATTGGCGAGACGTCACAAGTGGAGTCCCGCAGGGGTCAGTCCTTGGACCTATACTGTTTCTGGTATATGTAAATGATCTCCCAGAGGGTATAGATTCGTTCCTCTCAATGTTTGCCGACGATGCAAAAATTATGAGGAGGATTGAAACAGAGGATGATAGTAGGAGGCTACAAGATGACCTGGATAGACTGAGTGAATGGTCCAACAAATGGCTGTTGAAGTTCAACCCGAGTAAATGCAAAGTAATGAAACTAGGCAGTGGAAACAGGAGGCCAGGCACAGGATACAGAATAGGAGATGAAGTACTTAATGAAACAGACAGAGAGAAAGATCTAGGAGTTGATATCACACCAAACCTGTCTCCTGAAGCCCACATAAAGAGAATAACGTCTGCGTCATATGCGAGGCTGGCTAACATCAGAACGGCGTTCAGGAACCTGTGTAAGGAATCATTCAGAATCTTGTACACCACATATGTAAGACCAATCCTGGAGTATGCGGCCCCAGCATGGAGCCCGTACCTTGTCAAGCACAAGACGAAGCTGGAAAAAGTCCAAAGGTATGCTACTAGACTAGTCCCAGAACTAAGAGGCATGAGTTATGAGGAAAGGCTGCGGGAAATGCACCTCACGACACTGGAAGACAGAAGAGTAAGGGGGGACATGATCACAACCTACAAAATCCTCAGGGGAATCGACCGGGTAAACAAGGACGAACTTTTCAACACTGGTGGGACGCGAACAAGGGGACACAGGTGGAAGCTGAGTACCCAAATGAGCCACAGAGACGTTAGAAAGAACTTTTTCAGTGTCAGAGTAGTTAGCAAATGGAATGCATTAGGAAGTGATGTGGTGGAGGCTGACTCCATTCACAGTTTCAAATGTAGATATGATAGAGCCCAGTAGGCTCAGGAATCTGTACACCAGTTGATTGACGGTTGAGAGGCGGGACCAAAGAGCCAGAGCTCAACCCCCGCAAGCACAATTAGGTGAGTACAATTAGGTGAGTACACACACACACACACACACACACACACACACACACTCTCTCTCTCTCTCTCTCTCTCTCTATCTCTCTCTCAGAGAAAGAATGGGAGGGGGATAAGGGGGGACAAGCAGCAGCTACCCCTTCCCTTCCCTTCCCCCTCCCCCCCCACCACCTTCCCACAATTCGTACACTGCAGCAGCCTCTTGTAGCCCTCCCGCCGCTGCTGGTGAAGCCTCGTGTCGAACCTGTGTAAATATCTCCACTGTGAACCTCTCACCACCAACCAACATATATTTAACCCCCCTTCATTTCACTCAGGAAAAAAATGAAACAGGAACCGAAACGCAAAACGAGCAAAGATTACCCCGGGGGGGAGGGGAGGGGGGGATTGAAAACAAACGTAGGCTTCATTCTTTTTGACTTGTAGACGAAACGCTGCGAAAAATCGCTCGGACATCCTGCATGCTGCACAGTTGCCAGTTACGTCTTTTCAACTCCGGAAACGAATATGCATGTGTCTTTATGTTCCGTAGTGCTTGCAAGCTAAATCCCCCCCCCCCCCCACACTTACGCCCGAGAGAGTATACAATATTCCCCTACACCCCAAGCACAACATGCTCACACCCCCTGGTGTGTACTGTTGACACACGGGGCAGCAGAAGCACAGCTTTCCTCTCACGAAAACCAGTCACAGATCTGCCTGACCTTCATACCACTATTGCCCACAGTCTCAACATTTAACGTTATATAGAGACAACTTATATTGTGTTGGCACCAATTCTATACGATAATAAGTGAACGAGAGAGAGAGAGAGAGAGAGAGAGAGAGAGAGAGAGAGAGAGAGAGAGAGAGAGAGAGAGAGAGAGAGAGAGAGAGAGAGAGAGAGAGAGAGAGAGAGAGAGAGAGAGAGAGAGAGAGAGAGAGAGAGAGAGAGAGAGAGAGAGAGAGAGAGAGAGATACACACATACACATGTGTGTGTGTCACAACGTTGTGTGATATAATGTATACTTCAGAGTGTATGGGTACTACAATATGGGGTTGAGATGACGGGAGCTCCCGGGACGACGAGGCACACTGGCTGGCTGTTATAGAGCTGGTAAAGACTGGCCACAATTCCTTGATGGATTGCCTGGTTGTCATTTTGTTTGAGTCGTTGGTTGAGTGGATAATGTGACGAACTAATGATAACCAAAAATGTCTACTTTCACTACATTGTGAAAAATAGATAGATAGGATATATATATAGATAATTCTGAGGTTGTAACGGTGACCTTTGGAGTAGTAGACCCATGCGAACCCCTGGTAGCAGATTCCACAGTTACTTCCACTTTCGTATGTATTATTAACACATGTACATGTGTATTTGTGCAGCTACTCCTAGACTATAGGAAGGGGAGAACAGTGTCAATAAAAAAAACTTCACCACCATCTCTGTCCTCGCGAAACTCTATGATCTCCACCTCCCTTATTTCAATTACTGTGTACTCCAACGTGGACCAGCCACTCTCAGTTGAAATACCCAACCTCTTGGGCTGGGCGGTAGAGCGACGGTCTCGCTTCATGCAGGTCGGCGTTCAATCCCCGACCATCCAAGTGGTTGGGCACCATTCCTTACCCCCCGTCCCATCCCAAATCCTTATCCTGACCCCTTCCCAGTGCTATATAGTCGTAATGGCTTGGCGCTTTCCCCTTGATAGTTCCCTTCCCTTCTCAGTTGAAATATCGTTGACCTCATTCCCTTAATACTTTGAACTTTTCCGCGCGCAACAATGCGTAATGAACTTATTTCCTAACCCACAAAATACCGGTTTCATATCTGCAAGATATGTTGCAGGTCGAGTTGCACTCGACCTGCAACTGAGCAGTTTCTCGATTCTTGTTTACAATTCTACTCAACAAGTATCATCCAACAATCAGCCCCCCCCCCCCCCCATCCTGTAAGCTCAGACTGGAGTTCAATAGGAATGGCAAACAGT